CCTTGGTTTCTTCATCTGTAAAACAAGATGTTAATAGTTCCTGTGTCATGCATTATTATGAGGCTTGAACTAAGACACTCAAAGCACAGATGACACTTGGCACCATCCTTAGCACAGAGTGGAGACCATAATTGGCACCTAGCAAATACTGATTCTTTCCTCTTCCATCTGTGGGGGGTAGGAGGGGGAGCCCAGGCTCTTCTTCCTCCCCCACCTTCTTCTCCAAGTTTTTGCTCCTATTATAAGCCCCAGTGCCAGGTTGTCGAGGGAATCAGAGGTAATTTTTCCCCTCCCATTCTCTGCCTACAGTAGAGCTGAATATCAATGTCTCCTGGCCTTGGCTGCCTCAAAGCACAGCTTTCAGCTCACCTGGAACCAGGGCAGGTCAAAAGTTGCCCGTCCTCCCTTCTGGGTTTCCAGCAATATGTGCAGTCTCATCCCAAATCCCAGCTCCTGTGCTCTGCTCCTGGCCACTGCTAATGACCTCTGCTATAAACAAACCTCGTGCAGCTACAAAGCCTTTTCAGGTCCACAGGCTCAAAACTAGACTCTACCTTGATCTTTTAGGATAAAAGCCAAAGTCCTGAAGATGGCCTGCAAGGCTCCACATGATCTGACCCTGCAGACTCTCCAGTGCTCCAGTGACCTTAGGGTCTACCACTCCCTGTCACCTTTGCTTTTTCCATTCCAGTCATACTGCCTCCTTGCTGCCAAGTGCACACTCCCACCACAGGGCCTTTGCACCTGCTGTTCCTTTGGTTTGGGATCCTCTTTCCAAGATACCCCTAGACTATCTCTCTCTCACTTTCTGTAGCCTGCTATTCAATATTGCCTTGTCACTATTACGTTTTTGTGCCCTACGTGAAATGGCAGCCCTCTCATCCCTGGCACTCGCTGCCCCCTTTTCTCTCCTTTGTTTTCTCCATTGTGTTTCTCAACAACTGACATCTACTTACTTGCCTGACATTTATCATTTTCTCCCCCACCCTTCACTGGGATATAATTTCCATGGGTCCGGGTACAGTTTGCTCAGTGCCGTATCCTGGCAGCAGGAGCTGTGTCTGGCACGTAGCAGGTGTTTAATAAATATTTGTTGAATGAGTGAATTTCTAAACAATCCTCTGCTTCATTTGCTCCTCACAACAGCCCATTTGACAGATGAGCAATATCAACGCCCAGGGTCTTATTCCAAGGTACCCAGTGCTGTAAACGCTCAACCTGATCTAGAGATTTGGGCTTCAGGCACTACTTCAGTCTACACAGGGCACATTCCTCAGCTGGCCAACAATTTTCATACATCAGGATTCCCTCTGACCTTTAGCCCGAGAGGAAATGATATCGTAACTGGAAGAATCCCCAGAGGGCTGGGAGCTGGCAGCGGATGCCCCAGCAGCTGCAGGGAGTGTGTGAGTGGATTCCAAGTTGGCCAGAAAGTCGTCATAAAGAGTAGGAGGAAGGCACACAAAAATATCAGCACACCCCACACGGCTCCAGGCGTGGAGCCTCCCAAATCTGCCTTGTTCTAGTGGGACCTTTCTCAGCAGGAGGCATGGCAGCTGCAGCCACTGCCCATGTCACCGCATGGAGAAGGGGAGAGGTGGTCTGCTGGTTGTTTTTTGGGATGGAGGACCACGTGGCTGTGGTTGTCCAGGGCCAGGGCCTGGGTTCCATGTTTGGAAGAGAGGTGGTGTGGGTGACCCTTTGTCGAGTGACGTTGACCAGCCCAGCTCTGGAAGCTTGTGAGTCACAGGAAAGATCATTGGATTTCTGACTGGGAAACCCATATCCAGAGCCCTCAGCTCTCTTGTTTGCAAGCTGGGGGACCCTGGGCTGACCACTTTGTGTCTCAGTTTCCTTCTCTATAAAATGGGCTTATACTCTGAATGCCACAGAGTGTTTTAATGAGTCAAAAGAGATATGGGGAAACTGCTTTGTAAATTGTAAGTTTCTATATAAGGAGCCCTGATGGTGCAACAGTTAAACACTTGGCTACAAACCAAAAGTTTGGTGGTTCAGACCCACCCAATGTCTCCTTGGGAGAAAGACTTGGTGATTTGCTTTCATAAAGATTACAACTAAGAAAACACTTTGGGCCAGTTCTACTCTGTTGCATGGGGTCACTATGGGTCAAAATCAACTTGGCAGCACCTAACAACAACAACAAATTTTGATATAAATCTAAGAAATAACTTTGCATTTGTAAATAGATTGTTCTATAGTTGCTTTGATGTGGTTTCATCGGTGTAAATGGTCTATCCTGAACACAGTCTTTGTCCTGAAAATTGCTCCCATCTCAAGCCTTCCCTACCTCCAGTGAGAGATGTCACTACCTACCCAGTTGCTCACAGCCCAAATTTAGGAGTCATTGGTGACCTCTATCATTCTTTTGCCTTTAATCCTTCAGCCACTCCCATTAACTCTAAAACAAAACAAAAACAAAAAACAGATTCACTGCCGCTGAGATGATTCAACTCATAGCGACCCTCCTTGGGTTTCCAAGGTGGTATCTCTACAGAAGTAGTTGCCCAGTCTTCCTTCCAAGGGGTGGCTGGTGGGTTTGAACCACCAGCCTTCTGCGTAGCAGTCAAATGCCTTAGGCACTACACCACTAAAGCTCCCCTGAAATGCTCTAGGAATATGTTATTGCTGGGTGCCAACCAGTCTGTTCTGACTTGTAGTGACCCCATGTGACAGAGTGTAACTGCCCCATAGGATTCTCTTGGCTATAATATTTATTAAAGCAGATTGCCAGGTCTTTCTGCTGAGGCTCCTGTGGGTGGGTTTGAACCGCCAGACTTTTGGTTAGCAGCTGAGCACTTAACTGTTTCACCACCAGGGCTCCTTTTCCAGGGACATAATAAGCTTAATAAATATTTGGTGACTGACCATTTTCCTGGTGGAGACAATTGTTTACATGTTTAAGGATGATGGCTACTAGCAAAAGAACACAAGCGTCCCAGTCCTTCAATGAGATAGAGTCTATGAAGTCTGATACACTAAGTGGGTCCAGTGGTGGTTCAGTGGACAAATTCTCACCTTCATGGGGAAGACCCAGGTTTGATTCCTGGTCAGTGTACTTATGCATGGCCACCTCGTGTGTTTTCAATGGAGACCTGCCTGTTGCTGTGACGCTAAATGGGTTGCAGCAGAGCTTCCAGACTAAGAAGGACTAAGAAGAAAGACCTAATGATCTACTTTTGAAAATTAGCCAGTGAAAATCCCATGGGGCATAACTGATCACGGGGATGGCACAGGATGTGTCAATGTTTCGTTCTGTTGTGCATGGGGTCACCATGAGTCAGAGGTCCACTTGAAGGCAGCTAACAACAGCAGTTTATAAAGTAAATAGTAATTTCTAAGAGGAGAGTTTCCCCAAAGAGGAAACCCAAATGCCTAGTTAAGCTATGGCAGCAGCCAATGAACATCCCGTATACCCCCCAGCAACCCAGGCTGAGCAGACTCCAGATAGGAGAGTATCCTATGAACATTTGGTCTTTCTATGGAGGTAGAGGTGAGGGCACTGACTTTGGACTTCACTGTTAAACTTGCAAATTTGATTCTGTGTAACCTTGTCTTAAGGACCTCTCATGGTGCAGTAGGTAAGGCATTTGACTGCTAACCAAAAGGTTGGCAGTTCAAACTCACCATATACTCTATGGGAGGAGATGAGACAATCTACTTCCATAAAGATTTACAGCCTTGCAAACTCTATGGGGGGTCACTATGGGTCGGAATCCATTCCATGGCAGTGGGTTTGGTTTGTTTTTTTGGGACCTTGTGCTGATCAAGGAAAGGAATACTTCTATTAATTTGTTAATTATTTGGGCAGTTGTAAGGAAGCACGTTCTTCTCACCCTAGTGCCTGGAACAGGACCTGGCATGCTACAGAAACTCAACCAACCTTTGCTGACCAAACCTTCACCCACCCACTGGTGGTTCTGATCATCCTGCGAACCTTGGTTTGAAGATGCTCCTTTATCCCCTGGTTGTGGTGTAAAGAAGCCTGTTAAACCCTCACCTTCTTTTCTTCTCTGTTCCTCTAGGGGGGCTTGAAGAACTACCATCTGAGAGCTGGCCAAACACTACAGCCACGAATACCAGCAGTGAGGAAGCCAGAAAGGGTAATGTGTGGCCCCGCCCAGACCTTCGGGTCTCTTTTATTATACCTTTTACATACTATCTTAGTGGCTGAAATGGACTAGAAGCATTAAAATGTAGGGAAAGGGAGTGTTGCCTTTTGTTGAGTGGGGCTGCTTGTCAGACAGAGGGATAGAAGGCTGACTTTTGGTAGCTCAGGGGCTGTAAACTCTTTAGTTAAACTCTACTCTCTTGCCTTGACTTTTCTCTTTTGCGCATGACCTGTGGATCGAAGCCAAGAAGAGGAGAGCTGGTGAGGCTTCGTGAACTTGGGTACCTGAGAGAATGAGTAGGCAAGGGAGACAGGGGAAGGAGGTAAACCTGGGGTAGAGGCTGTGAGGGGAGGCCATAGGCTAGAGACCCCGTGAGTGCTAGGGGAGGGGACAGATAAGGTTGTTGACTGTGGGCAGGTGCCACCTATCAGAGGGCCTGCAAATGTATGTGCAGAGACTAATGTGGTCTACCAGTTCTATGAGTTTCTAGCCTTGAGATTACAGTGTGGTGTTTCACTTGAAGTATCTCCCTTAGGGAGAAGCTTTTCCAGGTCAGAACCTTTGCTGGAGGAGAGAGCCTGCTGGGCTTTAGTCTGGGAATCAAGGTGCACGGCCACAGTGCCATTTCTTCTACATAAAACTAACTGGAGAGCAAAAGGAATAACTCTTAAATGACAGACATTTATGTTTCAGGGATGTCTATGTAAGGATGAAATTGAAATCATTATTTACTTTACTCTATGCTTTTGCTTCACTGTTATTTTATGGTTTCTTCATATTCACATGTATCTCCAGAAGCACAAATGTGGTTACAGGCACACCTCATTTTATCATGGTTCACGTTATTACGCTCCACAGATACTGCCATTTATAAATTGGAGGTTTGTGGAAAGCTTGCATTAAGCAGGTCTGTCATTGCCATTTTTCCAACAGTATGTGCTCCCTTCATGTCTTTATGTCACTTTTGGGTAATTCTCACAATATGTCAAACTCATTCTTAATGCTGTTGTACACTTAGACTACAGTATAGTATAACATAACTTTTATATGCACCAGAAGATAAAAAAATTCATGTGACTTGCTTTGTTGCAATATTCACTTTACTGCTGTGGTGTGGAACCTAACCCACAATATCTCCAAGTATGCCTATATATCATCCTATCACTTGTCTAGTGTTGTCTTTTCCTTTTAATTTGGCTACCCCTTCACTTCTTTTTTCCATGTGTCACTCCTTTTCCAGGTAATGCATATTAACGACTTTGTATGAGCCCTTCCATAATTTTCTCCATGTCCTTATATTTACACACACATGTGTCACCAGAACTCCTTCTAGATACATATAAACATATATGTATATATATCTGGACTTCTGTCACTTTTAAAAGTGGGATCATATTTTTTAATTAATATTTTATTTTATTTTTTGGGAAAATATATACAGCAAAACCTGCTAAAATACAATCATGTTTGATGCACGTGTTTTAACGCCACAGGGGAAGGTGGTGGATAGTCTCCAAATAAAGCATTTTGCTTTTCTCACTCGTCAGTACCTCATGGGAAAATCCTTCAAGCATTTGGCACAGTTTAAATTTATTTTTAATTGTTGCAAAAACATTCCTAGTATGGACATACCATAATTTATTCAGTCGTTCCCTTACAGATCATCATTCATTTTAGTTCAAGTTTTACCATCATGAACAGTGCTGCAGTGAGCACTTAGAAACGTACGTCCTCACACACTTAGTACATTTTTAATGTTTCTGGATGATATTTCAAAAGCTGTAACAACTCATATTTCCATACCAACTTATGGACGTACCCCTTTTCCCATATCCTTACTGGCACTAGGTATTATCAGTCTTTTTAGTTTTTGCCACTGAGATGGACAAAATGGTATTTTGTTATTCCTTTCATCTGTATTTCTCTGCTTGCTGGTGACTGTGGACATCTTTTTCCGCTTTTATCGGGGCTTGGATGTACTCCTCTGTGACTCGCCTCTTTGTGACCTTTGCCCATTCTTCTGTTGGGATTGTGGACCAACTTCTCATTGGTTTGACTTCTTTTGGAGAGAGGAAGACTTTTTAGCCCACCCCCTATATTCGACCCACCTGCATTTGTTTTTAGCTACACATTTGCTGCTAGCAGCTGCCGCCTCTTTAAAACTTGAATTTTTCTGCTTTGCCTATCCAGCTTTTGGATATTTTGACTTATGAGGCCTTGGACTCCCAGTCATCTGGTAGACTCAATGGCACTTCATTTTAGGCACAGATGACTGCCACTTAGTGGTAAAAATTGGCAGTTTCTGGCAGTACTTTGGGAGCTCTGGTGGTGTAGTGCGTAAGGCATTTGACTGCTAACGAGAAGGCTGGCAGTTCAAACCCACCAGCCACTCCTTGGAAGGAAAACTGGGCAATCTACTTCCATAGTGATACTGCCTCGGAAACCCAAGAGGGGTGGCTATGAGTTGGATCTGACTCAACAGCAGTGAGTTGAGTTTGAGTTGAGTTGGCAGTACTTTTGCAGTGTGGTACATGGTACAGGAATGAAGGCCAGAGGGGTTTGCCACAACAGCAGTGTAGATGCCACTCATAATTTTTTCCTCCCTATTCAGTGACCTCTGGTTGTATAAAAGTCATCCCAAAGCTTAGTGTTTTCAAACATGACTGTATGGGTTGACTAGGTTCAGTGCAGATAGGAAGGACTTGGCTGATGTTGGCTGGAGTCACTCACTCAACTGCATTCATCTAGCAGCTGGACTGGACTGGGAGGTCCAAAAAAGTCACTGTCCTGATGCCCCAGTGCTTTTCCACTGGCCCCTTCTCTCCAAGTGTACTTCCACTGTGCAATAGTTTAACCTAAGATTCTCATAGCATGGCGGCTGGCCTCTCAGGAGGAGGAAGAAGAAACTGCCAGCCCACTGAAGCCCTAGATTCAGCACTCCTAGAAAGACACTTCTGCCACATTCTGTTGGTCAAAGCCAGCTGCACAGCCAGCCCAGGTTCAAGGAGAGGGAAATAGACACTGCCCCTTCATGTGAGAAGTGGCATGAGCTTAAAGGGATGAGAGGACTTGCTGATGGCCTTATTTGGAGACTACCACCTTTCCCCATGGCATCTTACCTGCTCACAAGCAATAGACATTCTCAGAGTTCTTAATATTTACCAGTTTGATGAGTGTAAAATGATTCCACCAAATAAACCTAGATAATAAGGCACATGTGGGTTTGAGTCTTAGCTCAGCCACTTAGTAGCTATGAGCTTGGATAATTTATCTCAACTTTTCATATGAAGTTTGGTGAGAATTAGAAATAATATTTATGTAAAGTACATAGCCAGGTGTCTAGAACTTAAAAAGGTACTCAAGGAATGTAGCTCCTCCATTTCTTCTTCCTCCCACCTCCATATCTAAGAGTTATATTACCCAGCATTGAAAGTATATCATCCAGCTCTGGGCTGAGATTCCACAGCTGTTCAACAGCTGCACAGAAACACAATTAAAGATGACAGGAAGGAATAGGGCCGCGTTGCCATGAAAACTCTGCCTCCAGTTCTGTTGTGCACAGTACCCAAACTGCAACAGGAGATCTTGGACTTTTTAAGGACAAAGATGATAGTACCCCCTTCACACCCCTGAAGTTGCGTAGAAAACAAACCAAACCAAACTCACTGCCATTGAGTCGGATCTGACTCATAGCAACCCCTCCTTGTGTTTCCAAGGTGGTATCACTATGGAAGTAGATTGCCCAGTCTTCCTTCCGAGCTGCCTACGTCCCCTCAAATGACCCTTGTTGGACTGAAGAAGATAAAGTCAAACTAAGCCAAGCCCTCCCCCTTTCATTTCAGCAGAGGCAAGCAGGTCTTTAAGCATCCAGGGGAATGCTGAGGAGGAAAGAGACCCCAAAGGGGAGGTGAGGGCAGGCTGTTCTAGCCTGTTCCTCCATGATCCCCAGCCCACCCCTCTAGAACGCAGTTGGGTGCCTACCTAGGGTATCTCTTGTTTTTGTTTGAATTAAAGGAAGACAAGACAAGTTGTGTCAGTCTCTGATTCCCCTTATCACAGTCCTCTTCTGCTGCCGCCCCCAAAAAAGAGACCACCCAAGCAGGAGAAAGGGTCAAAGGGAATCCCCTGGCCTCCTGGCTTCAGCGGCAGGTTTATTTCCTGGCATTATGTGGCTCCTGTCAGCCCTGACGGTGGGGGTTTGTGCTTCCTGCCTTGGGGCAGAGGGGGTCTCTAGGAATTGCTCGGTCAGCAGCCCCCAGCCAACCGTGTTGTCCCAGGGCTGCCTTGCCCTGGAGGTGAGTGCTCAGCATGCATCCCAGGGCTGCTAATGGCATTAATGAAATGGAGTGTGTCACTCATCTAAGAATGAAGCTGTGACTGTTTTGATGGGGCCTGATTATTCATAAAGAATGAGCCTTCCATTTTTAGTAACAGTCCTCCAGGGCTTTGTGCCGGAGCAAATAATAATGGAATCTGGTTGCACCAGAGAATAAGATCCCTCAGACATGGGTGTAAAACATCACTCAGACCCCGAAACCCTGAATTTCACTTACCTCAGCATATCTGGGGGTACTGCTGAGCCTGGCTGGCTTTCGGTCCTCTTCCTGGCCTGTCCCCAAATGCTTAGTGATTCCTGTGGCCCACATTTCTGGAGCCTCTGTCCACGGCAGGTGCCGGACATTCATTACCTCAGTCAGTACTCCACCATCTGGCAGGAAGCAAGGCTCTGAAGGACAAATGGCTTGTCTAAGGCCTCACAGCAAATGGCACTATTTGTTTTGGGCCAAGCCCTCCAGAGGCCCTTGCCTTAACCTTTGGGCTGTATCAGTGGTTCGCAAACCTCCCTGAGCTTTCTCATCACCAGGGAGCTTTAAGGCCGTAGGGACCTTGACTCCACTCTAGGCCAACTGAATTGAATCTCAGGGCAAGAATATTTTTTTTTTCCCTTTAAATTTTTATTTGTTTTGTTGTTGTTGAAAATACACACAGTAAAACATACACCAATTCAACAGTTTCTACGTGTACAATTTAGTGACACGTTCTTTGAGTTGTATAACCTTTCTCACCCTCCATTTCTGAATTAACATAAACTCACTGCCCCCTTAGATTCCTATCTTATCTTTTGAGTTCCTGTTGTCCATTGTGGTAAATACACACATACACATAAAAAACATTTGCCGTTTCAGTATTTTGACATGCACAACTCAGTGACAGTGATTACATTCATCCTGTTGTGGAACCATCACCACTATCCAATAGTTTCCATATTTTTCTCTTTCTCTTAACAGAAGCTCAGTGCTGCCTAAGCAAAGACTCCTTCTAGCCCTCTCCCTCCCACCCCTGATGTTCTGGTTCCCTAGTGCTTCTCTGACAGGAATACACCACAAATGGGATGGCCTTAACAAACAGGAGTTTATTCTTACAATTTGGAGGCTTTAAGTCCAACTTCAAAGTGCCAGGCTCTAGGGGCTGGGTAAAAGCCCCTCAACCTTGGGGTCCAGCTCTGCTTCCTGCTCCTGGCCCACTGGAGCTAGAGGCTTTTCTTCATTCAGACAGCTGCTGGCTGCTGAGGCTGAGAAGCCCCAAGGTTGACAAGTAAAAAGGCACAGTGCCAATGTTACCAAACCACATGGCAGGCCATTAACTTAAGTCCATGGCAAGTCCCAACGTCGGCAGAGCATAGCAGGCTGCTGAGCAACGACACAGCTACATGCAGGGTCCAAGCTTGCCAAAGGCTAGAGACCATTCCCAAGGCTTCTCCTTGTATACAGGAAGCAGACCACATCCCAAAGGCAGCTACTCAGCTGCTTGTGGTAGATCCCACCATGGAGCTGATTGCCTGTCTCCTCATGGGGAATAACTACCACCAGCTGCCCAGCCACTCAACCAGGCCCAGCCAAGTTGACACACAAACATAACTACCACCCCTGGTAACCACCTCTGTGCATTTCCTGGTTCCAGATAGTACATGTAGCTGGTAATCTGCGGTATTTGTCCTTTAGTGTCTGACTTATTTTACTCAGCATAATGTTTTCAAGGTTCCTCCATGGTGTAGGATGTCTAGAACTTCATTTCTCTTTATGGCAGTGTAATATTCCATTGTGTGTTATATGCTATGTTTTGCTTATCCATTTTTCTACTGATAGGCATTTAGGTTGTTTCCATATTTTGGACATTGTGAATAATGCAGTGGTTTAGCACTTGGCTGCTGACTGAAGGATTGGTGGTTCAAACCCACTAACAGCTCCACAGGAGAAAGATGTGACATTCTGCTTCCATAAAGACTAAAGTTTTGGAAACCTTATGGGGAAAGTTCTACTCTGTCCCACAAGGTGCTGTGAGTCAGAATCTACTTGACACAATGGGTTTGGTTTTTGGTGTTGGAACATTGGTGTGTGTGTATCTCTGCAATCCTACTTTCAGTTATTTTGAGCATATGCAATTCCAAAGGGGAATTTCTGGATCATATGGTAATTCTTTATGAGGAATCTCCAAACTGTTTTCCATAGTGGATGGACCATTTTGCACCAACAAAAAAATGGTTCCAATTTTTCCACATCCTTGCCAGCAATCAGGGCAGGATTTTTAAAAACTCCACAGCTGATTCTATGTGTAGCCAGATTTGAGAACCACTATACCAAGTAATAGAAATCTCACTCTTTGAGTAAGGGGCTGATCTTTAGTCTTTCAGAATTGATGCCGGAAGGGTGGGAGTTTGCCTACCACTCAGGATGTGACGGTTATGCTGGACAGTCGGGGTGTTTACTTCCAGGGTGGGAGTGACCAGTTACCTCATCTAAAAATTATAGTTCCTGCCTTGAGAAGGCTGTGTCAGGCCCCATTCTGTTTATGACACGGCTGAGCCTTCATCTGGAAATGGAACATTGAACAGCAACGGCTGCTCTGCCCCGACAGAGAGTCCAGGGTCCATTTCTAGAGCCAGAGAATTTAAATGGGCTTTCTCCTCCACTCTACCCCACCCCCAGCATGTAAAATCCTCTCAGCCGCCCCGAGCTCCTCTTCAAATGCAGGACTCTTGGCCATAATAAATAATTACATCCTTCTATTTGGGCTCTGATTCCAGATAGTAGTAATCCAAGAAAATCCAATAATGACAGTTGCATTAAGATCCTTCTTCAGGCTAAGCAGAACATCTGTTTAGACATATTTTTAATCGGCAAATGCTTCCTGTGTTGAGTCCTCAGCAAATTAAATTTCTCACTGGACCGAAGGGGAAGCTGTCATTCAATAACCCATCTCTGGAAATTACACCCCAGTCTCTTTCCAGGTGCAGTTAAGATTTTCCCATGTTGACTTGGATGCATAAAACCAGCTCTTAAAATACTAGGTCACATGTATACATAGCACAGCTTGTCTGAGAAACGTGGGATGTCTTAGTGTTATTCCCTCAAATAGAGAAGAATTTTTGCCCATTCTCCAAAGGAGAGTTGGCAGCAGAGGAAAATTAAGAGACTTGTTGAAAACCATATGGGAAATGAATAACAAACTTCTACTTGCTACATCGCTGCTTGTGATTTCTTAAGACACGATGCCTCTCAGGATGTAAACATTAAGGGCTTCAGCACTGCCAACGTTTTGGAGTGGTTTTTACCACAGAATTGTTTGGGCTGCTGGGCTATTTATTTCTAGAGAAACCAATTCGTTCTTTAATTCATTCATTCAAAATACAAAAATATGAATGCTTGCCCCCCCAGCCAGGTACCATGCTGGGAGTGGAGAGTCAAGTGGTGAACAAGCCAGCCAGAATTCCTGCCCCTGTTGAGCTTTTAGTGTACTGGGGCGATTTATACTTGAAATCTGGAAGCACTTTGGAGTCTAGGGCTGGCATCGCAGATTGGAGTATCTCTAAGAGGCCAGACAGAGAATGTAAATGGGTGAAGTGGGCGGGATGGGACACTGTGCAGCAAACGGAAGAATATGTGCCCTGACTGTGGAAAGCAGGTGCTCATTAACTCCAGTGGGTTGAACCATGGAAGAGGAAGGTCCCACTGTTGCCAGACTTTTCCCTTTTTAAAGAAAAGCTGGAAAATATGGATTCGTGTGTGAAATCCCTTGATTTTTGAAAAATTGGCTTCTAAAGTGAGATTTTTAAAAAAGCAAAACATAGTGTGGGCCAAAAGTGTCCGGGCCAAATCAAACACATCTGTAGGCTGGATTCATCCCGAGGGCCGCGTGTGTGTGACTTCTGTCCCATAGATTTGAGCAGTAAAACAATGATTTTCAGGTTTAAAAATATATGACACGCCAACATTCTGGTTTTGGCAATATGACCAACTGAACTATTAGGGACCCCTTATTAAAACGTAAAAATGCTGAAAAACAAAACAAAAATCCACCACCACCACCACCCCCTAATTAAAAATAGAGAGTTAAACTCAAAGGAAGAAGGGTAAACCACCATAGTCAGAGGGAATACAACGACAACAACAACATACTGCTGTCGGGTCAGACCCCTCCTTGGGCTTCTGAGGCGGTATCACTACAGAAGTAGATTGCCCAACCTTCCTTCTGAGGAGTGGCTGGTGGGTTTGAACCGCCAGCCTTCTGGTTAGCAGTCAAGTGCCTTAGGCACTATGCCACCAGAGTGCCCATCAGAGAAAATAAGGAACAAAAACCCAGAGAACTAAGCTTCATGTGGTACCACAGCTGTGGAGGGCATTGGAAGTACAGCTTTGGTCCCATGTGAGGTAGGACAAGGAAACTAAGATCCCACAAGAGCTTCCTACTCATTAGGGGAAAAAAAAAATCTGGAAAAACTCTACCCAATGGCTTAGAGGAGTGGCAAGAAACCTTTGTATTGTTCCTTGGCTCTGAATGAGGGTAAAAGCTACCTTCAGTGAGAAACTGAATCCCAAAGCCTCTTCCTCATGCAGGTACGAATTCTGGCTTTACACTTGGTTACATGGAAACCCTTAACTGGGAAATTAACATGAAAACTGACCAAGAACCCATAAAAAGCTCAAGAGCCCTAGCAGAAAAAAACATGCAAAACAGGGTCACACCCAGGATCCAGGGCATATGAGAATACTGCAGAAAAGAATAACCTTAAAATGAACTTAAAATAAAAATATTGTTGGTGTTGTTGGTATGTGCCGTTGAGTCGGACCAACTCATAGCGACCCCTCCTTGGGTTTCCAAGGCAGTATCACTACGGAAGTAGCTTGCCCCATCTTCCTTCCGAGGAGTGGCTGGTGGGTTTGAACCACCAGGCTTCTGGTTAGCAGTCAAGTGCTTTAGGCACTACGCTACCACAAAAATTAATCCATGTGGAAGAATCAACAGACACAATCAATTAGAGAATTGGTATTCTAAGTTGTAGAAACAATGAAACAATCTGAACGAGACTGTAATAAGTATGGCTAAAATTGTTAAAGAGCCAAAAGAAGAAATTGAAACCTTTGTGGGGTAAAATAGGAGAATGTGAAAAACAGCAGAAATGAAATAAAATAAAATGGGAAGTCTATTCAATGAAACTGGAATGGGTTAAGTCAGGGGATAGACTATACTTGTTTTCTTTCCCCAAATACTTGTGGCTCTGAGAAGAAAACACACCTCTAACTTGTCCCCACATTGGCCCAGAGGGCTGTGAGTTGTCTAGGCACACTGGGTTCTTGGGCCACAGCTGCAGTCAGCCTCCTGGGGCTTCCAATGCTTCAAACAAGCCAGAGTTCCTATTATATATAGGCCCTGAGCTCTTCCTCTTTCCTTGACTGGAACACTACCACCACAGGTTCAAACCCTTAATGGATCCTATACCTCTTTTTAAAATACTTGTTTTTAACATTCCTTCTGCTGCTCTGAATGAAACGTGTGAGTACTATAACCTGAACCGTGGTATACGGAAGGAAGAAAAGCACAAAGTAAATGGAAGTATGACTCTCTTGCAGATGGCAAGGAGAATGCCATGCTTCCACAGAGCCCTGGGACCTCAAATGCCACAGCTGAGACCTTCTCTCACCGGGTCCGAAGAGCTACAACCTCAAGGACAGAGAGGATCTGGCCTGGAGGAGTCATCCCCTATGTCATTGGAGGGAACTTCACTGGTCAGTTGCCTCAGATGGGGCCTGCTTTGGGGCTGGATGGTTTGCCTCTATAGGGTAAGAGAGTCCTCCCAGGAAGGACTCAGGTGAAATTGGGCAAATGTTGGGGGCCACAGCAGTTCTACAGACTAATGCTTTGTTGTGCTGACAGGGCCTGGTCCATCACACCTGGGAGAACTACAGTCTCTGCTGGGGCTGCATCCTCAAAGATGGCTGCCTTGCTCCTGAGGCTTCATGCGGGTGGTGACATATGACCCTGGTCTTGAAGGACAGGACATATTTGCACAATGGATATGAGAGCACAAGCATGAGCAGCTATGCATGGTGGCATAATGTCCTCTGCCTACACCCTGGACTTAGTGGTCTCCCCTCCACCTACCCGAGCAGTGCTCAGCATAGTAATCCAAGTGGGCTAGTAGACACAGTGGGACTTCTGGGTCCAAACCCACGATTTGTAGTACACCCTGGAGCAAGTTGCCTAACCTCTCTGCCCCTCATTTCCCTCATCTGTGTATGGAGATGCTAATATTTTATACCCACTAGGGTTATTTTAAGGAACCCTGGTGGGGCAATCGTTTAGCTAGGCTGCTAACTGAAAGTTGGGTGGTTGGAACCTCCCCAGTGGCTTCTCAGGAAAAAGACCTG